TTGCCAATAACGAAATCGGAAAGATATTGAAGCTCAATGTCATAACACAGTTGGATTTTTTCTTGAATGTTAATTTTTTTTGCGTTTGGAATATGAGAAAGGAAGACACTGTTTTCTATAGTACATTCACATGTAGCTTATTGAACAAAATGTGACTAGCATTTTGTGAAATGTGAATACTGAGCACAACTCTGGGTTCATCAATGCCCATATTCCGTCAAAAAATTCGATACAAACGCAGTTTACAATGATTATTCTTATCTGGTTCTTTTTCTTTATCAAAAAATTTTCGTAAAGTAGTATTATTTCTAATTATCAGTTGAATAAAATGATTTACGAAAAGCAATTCATTTTCAATGCAAACATAAAATACCGAAAAACATACACAACACATAAAACGAAGAGGTCTTTAGTGGTATTCACAAAAAAAAGTTATTCGCATATTCGAAATCTGATTTTTCTAGTACTTGTACTTTGTGGAGTAGTCCTTCGGCGAGGTGACCAAACCGCGACCCTTGCGCGCTCCACGGTATACCGTTTCGATGATGTCGATGAGCTCTTGTCCGTCTGTGACCGGCCAGTTGATCTTGTTGTTGTTTCCGGTGCCCAAGTCGACCATAATCTGGAAGATCAGAGATTTGTGATTGGCTAAGATGGTTTATGAAATCGGAGACGGATTTGTCAAAATTGTGTGTCATTATACAAGTTACCCATGAGCACTGACAGTTATGGGGAAAAACTATCATTATTTAAAGGTTTTTACCATTTTTTGGCCAAAAATGGGCTTTTTGTAAAAACTGAATTTACTTTGCATACTATTTTCCGTCTAGCTAGGTAGGAAAAGTGAACTCAGAAAAATTATGTTACCTTTAAAAATTGGCAAAACCTGGGTTTTGTTCCAAATTAAAAAAATTGAAAGTTTGGCCAAAAGATGGAGCTTTCTTACTTATAACTCGCCCATACCTAATGCAAAATATCGGGATGGTACCTAAGCAGACTTGACTTTAATGGACGCGGTTGATGATAATAGTAATATGATAATAATAGTATTGGCGGGGGGGGGGACTTTTCATGGGGCAGAATTTGGTGCTCTTTTCATTATGTTGATCATAAATCTGATGTTACTCATTATATCTCAACTTTTTCTCTAGTTTATAATGGCACATTTTTTCAAATTTGCAATTTTCTAACCAAAAAGTGCCATTCTCATGAATTTTTCATCAAAGTTTGACGAAAATGGCACTTTTTGGTCAGAAAACCGCAAATTTGAAAAATTGTATTGAGCCATTATAATCTAGAGAAAAAGTTGAGATATAATGAGTAACATCAGATTTATGGCCAGCATAATGAAAAGTGCCCTAAAAATGGCATTTTCATCGATAATTTCGCTATTGTGAGGGCCCCTATACCGGAATATTGATACAAGATTTAGCTTATTGTAATTTCAATCATCCTACTGTAATAAAAAAATCTTACAAAAGCTTACATGCTTGTTCCGGAAAAAGAACATGACAGTTGTGGGATCGTACAATTCGTACATTTTGTTGAAATCCGGCACTTCGCTCGTGTCCACCAGATAGATCACCGCAAAGTTCTTCACCTTGTTCGCGACTTTGTAGAGAGTCTATAAGCTTAAAGGATTAATACAAGTCACAAAAATTTATAGAGACTAATAAAGAAATGACCTAATCGTATGGTCGCCACTTAACACACGGTTCATACCGTTGTTCTAGACAAATATTCATTAATAAATGAGAAGACAAGTCGGAAAACAAAATCGCATTTGGCTGTAGAGACTTTATTTTCCAGGTAGGACTAAAATTTACTAGAAATTTCTTTGCAGAAGCAATGTTTTTGATCCAGATTTCTTACAGTATGAATATGGAAAAATTGCGCCTCTGCGAACACTTTTGGCCATAACTTGGCTAACCTAACGCAGGTATCTTCTAGGTAAAAAGTTCCCTAGGTGTCTTGGCTACCTCGGATATGCTATCAGGCTTAGGACTACAGTATCGTAGAGAGTCAGTATTGCTTTCCTAAGCTTTAAGCTAAAAGCTTAAGACCAGTCTTGGCCGGTAAAGTCTCACTTTCCACCCCCCCCCCCCAAAAAAAAAAATCAGTTTCTTACTTAAAATGGCCATAATTTTTGACACTCAAGCTTAACCTTGGTCTTAAAATGTTTCTAGGACTTAGGCGAACAACTTAGGCTTAAGCGTAAGCTCGAACTTAAGCTTAGGTCTAAGCTTAGGGTCTCTAGGGAACATTTTAAGCTATCACCCAAAGCTTAAATCTAGGCTTATTTATGGCCACTTAAAGAAATATCGGGTGGAAAGTGGGTATTAGTCGTCTTGGCCTAGCTTAAGATCAATCTTGGCCTAGGACTAAGAAAGCCTAGCTCCAATTTAAGCCCTTACTCTAAGCTTAAGCTATGATCAAAAATGTTCGCAGACGCGATACCCAGAGGACCACGAAAATGGACCCATAAATTTTTTCGATCAGCGCTATGAGTCTTATCACAGACAGGTAGTCACTACAGCCAACGCGTCTCACCTGGCTTGACTAACAATTCTAAGCTCAAGATGAAATAAAAAAGTTTACCTCGTCCATTCGCATGCAAGAAGGATCCCAATCGTGCCCGAAGCGAATGACCACCACGCGATCTTCTTCGGCCAAAATGGCTTGGTCCACTGAAAATGTTTACAGTTAGATATATAGATGTTACGGTCAGATATAAGAGTTGAGAAATTTTTTAAGAAAAAGATTTTCAAAGTTCAATGATCAAATTCAAACCAAAGAACGGACCACCTTAATTTTTCTAGGATTCCCCAAGTCCCTCGATAAAATAACGGTTAAAGAAATTTTCTTTTCAGAGACAAAATCCGGGATCAACTGAGAGAAATATAAGAACAGCGCCAAAGCGAAAATATTAAAAAATTGGACAACTTTGTCAATAATTTACCAAAAATAAGCACAATTAAAAATGAGCCAATCTAAGAAATGAGCAAAGATCGAAATTGGCTAAAAAGGATAAACCTAAAGGTAATGCCAAAAATCCCGGAATAGTGAAAAAAATAACCTGAATCTTAATAGAAACAATCTAACAGTAATAAGCTTAACCACTCACATAATTATCAAATTATGTACGCTTTTTCCTAAAAATTTCTTGTCGCTTTATGAAAAAATGTTCAGCTTATCGAAAAAAAACCAAAAAAATACAAGAACGGGTCATATGTCACATAATCTAGATGATTCTCGACAATTCCACAGGAATTCCCCTATCTAAAATTGTCTAAAAACTAACTTTCCTATATAAATTCTGCCCCGGGCACCTTCCAACATCCCCAAAAGTATTGGTCGGAGCAATAATCTTGACAAAAAAACAAACCTTGCCAGCCATTGCTCAAATGCGGAAGCATATACGACATCCTGGATGTGTTTTGAGTTGTCTTTCAGGAAAAGCAGGAATGAAAAAGAATCAGAGATTCGGCTTTGGCTTGGGAAGAATGGAGATTTCCAAAGCGACAGAAATTTCGACCGTATATCAACGAAAATCGATTCAGAGGCAATTCCAGTCGGGACAAATTCTGATTTGAACGGGGAAATTGGGAGAAGCCAATCCTACAAGCAAGAGAGATGGCTCTGAACCAGACACATACCGTATTTCCTTCAATAGAAGCCACCTCCCAATAGGAGCCCCCCCCAATATAAACCCCTACAGAAAGAGAAATAGTATGTAAAAATGAGAGGTTAGAGAAAAAATTTGAAAATTTTTGGGACATTGAAAAATACAAGCCCCGGGGCTTCTATTGGAGGAAATACTGAAGTACCGAGGGGATCCTTGAACGCCGCACACAAAAAATTTGGCCCTATTCTTCGTGGCGGGACCCAAAAACCCCTGATTTCGATATGTCGCGGCGTTTTTTGTTTTATATAACAAAACCAAACAAAGTAAAAAAGTCCAGAATACGCAAAAACTTTGCGGATCACAAAAAACGCATTTTTTGGGAAACACCGAAAAAACAAAAAATTTGGAAAAAAATGAGAATCTGGACGAATACCGTAAATCCTCCAATAAGTCCCCGGGGGGACTTATTGTTTCGTAGGGGGTCTAGGGGGGGACTTATTTGAGGGAGGGGACTTATTTTTTCGTGGCCGCGCCGAAGGCGCGGCGAAAATTTTTGGGACTTTTTGGCAAAATTTGGGAAAATTTTTGAAAATTTAAACCAATTTTGAATTGGCGCCGAAAAATTTTGGCCAAAAATTTGAATTTTTTGGATTTTTGATCGATTTTTCGGCAATTTTTTGCAAATTTTTCAATTTTTTGACAAAATTTTGTAAAAAATAGCAAAATTTGCAATAAAAATTCAAATTTGCGCCAAAAAATTTGAAATTGCGCCAAAAATTTGAAATTTGGAAAAATTTGGAAAAATACCCATTTTAGGGGGGGGGGCTTATTTAAGGGGGGGGGACTTATTTGAGAGGGGGGGACTTATTGTTTCGTTGGGGGTCTAGGGGGGGACTTATTTGAGGGGGGGGGACTTAATTGAGGGAGGGGACTTATTGGAGGATTTACGGTAGTTGAGTCTGTAATATCAGATTTTCTAGAAACATCCTTCTGGTAAGTATTGTTGTACTGTAAGTATTGTTTTTTCTTCAGACAAAAAATCAACAAATTTGTTAAAATTTTAAACTTAATTTTTGAAACTCTGAACAAAATTTTGAATTTGAATCAATCCTAAAACTTAAACTTTGGGAATTCGCATTCACGCTCACATTTTTATCAAAGATCCAACTTTTTTTCAAACCAAATGTTGTAAAAAACAATAAAAAACTTGTTTTCATTAAGAAAATAAAATTTTGGTATACGAAAAATTGTTATACGAAAAATTTTCAAAAATTTTAACGCTCATTAAAAAAAGAACCGTTTCTACGGACTCTATTGATCAAAGATCAGGTCGTTCTCTCATTTATATGCAGCTTCCCTCTCTAAACGAACATGTGCTCCATTGGCCTAGTGGATAAGGCGTCTGACTTCTAATCAGAAGATCGTCAGTTCGACCCTGACATGGAGCTATCATTTTTATTTTGGCCCACTTTCGGCATAAGTCATGAAAAAGTCACTAATCTGCTACTAAGGCTGAAAAAAATTTTATTTTCACATAATTTTGGCGAAAAATGCAACTTTTTTTGGAACAGAAAGAAAAAAGATCGAGATTCTTGAATGACTTAGACTTAGCTCAATTGGTTTCAACTCGAGAATCCCGACCCTGTCTATGAATCATATCAAACTGTCCCACTTTTATTAATTGACAAATTCTTAGTTCAAAGTTCAAAGATCATAAATAAAAGTACAACCAATAACAATAAATTCCACGCTTCAGCTCCGTTCCTTTTCTTTCATCCTTCCATATCGCCGCCTCCGGCCCTCGGGCCACTGCGTCGGTCGGGTCCCGCTGCAACTTTCGGCAGGTTCGGGTAAAGGTGCGCTTTGGCGTCGGCGCCAAACTTTTCCCATCCGACCCATTCTTTGGTCTTTTCAGTCTCCTTTTGCTTCTTCTCGCAGAGTTCGTTGAAATATTCCAGCAAGTTGATTTGATCTGAAATTTGCAGGTTAGTAAAAATTTTGGTAAATAACTTTCTGGATTTTAGAGTAAAAATATCTGAAAATTAAAAATTTGACAGAACCTGTAAAAATTCTGTAAAATTTTTGAAAGCGTCCCTAAGAGAAAGACCAAATTCCTTCTGGCATCCAAGCATAGCTCCTCAAAATTTTATCTATTTGGGTCAAAAATATCACAATATAAGCTTAGCCACTAGTATACAGTTATCCACTCTCTAAATTTACTCCCTTTGCAAAATTTGATCTCTCTCAATCGATCCACTCACATTATACTTCTGGAACTTTCTAGAATGTTCCCAGAAGTTGATTTTTAACGAGCATGTAAGGTGTTTGCTTGTAAGTAATAGGCAAATCCTCAGGGCGTGTGCTCATATTTTTTCATCTTTTACCTAGCGAAATCCAAGCCAAAAATTTGAGCCACAAAAGTGCAATTCTTTTCACCCTTACCTCCAGCCTTTTGCAAATTTGATCCAGGCGGCGGCCTTTTGAACCTTTTCTGCGGCTGCGGAGAATTGCTCCGACTGTTCGGCGCCGTCAACGGACTGCTCGCTCCGGAAATTGACTGCGGCGGTGCCAAATTTCGCTTCCTGAAAATCAAAAATTCCTCCAGAAACTTTTTGAACAATTTTTTAAAAATCACATACGTTCCCGCATTTTTCTGCCCATTCCGTTGTTTCCTTCCGGCCGACTCCGCTGGCGAATTTTCCCGGCGCCGTTCCAACCGGACTCCGGAAGTTTCGACGAATGTCGTAAAAAGTTGGTCGTGTTCGGCGGAACGGTGCGAAAAGTTTTTCATCACTTTGGCCAATTCCTCGAAACCGATCCGGTATTGGTCGTCTCTGAAAGTAATAATTGGTACTGGCCCTATCCTAGTATAAGTGGCCCCCGATTTCACGGGCAAAAAAGGATAGGGGGTACCCTATGGCTTGAAAAATCGTTTTTCTGAAAAATTTGTAAAAAAATCAATAGGGTACCCCCTATGCTTTTTTTGCCTGTGAAATCGGGAGCCCATTATAATAGGATAGGGCCATTGGTACTTTTTTAGTTCCCCCCCCCCATCCAACGGGGGGGGGCGGACTAAAGATTTTGTAAGCCATTTTTCATTAGTTCCCCCCACACCGCAAAATTTTTTTATTCCAGACTTTTCAGGGTTAAATAATCTAATTTTATCTGGAAATGTTCTAGAAAAAATTCCTAAAAAATTAAAAAACCTTTCATAAAACGTTGCAAAAATTGAAGAAAACCACTTTGTAGAATGTTCTAGAACATTTCCAGATAAAATTGGAAAATTTTACCCTGAAAAATCTGGAATAAAAAATTTTTGCGGTATGGGGGGCTAATGAAAAATGGCTTATAAAATGTTTAGTCCCCCATCCAATTTTTGGGCCTGTGAAATTTTTTTCAAAAACTATAGGGAATTTTCGTCCGCGAGATAAAAAATTTATAAAACCTTAAAACGTTTTGTTGAAAATTTTGTTAAAAATTGCGCAAAATTACACAAAACTGGAGGTTAATTTTCAATAAATACCTTCAAAAATTCCTAAAATTGCTTACTTTGAATACCCCTTCGGCAACAGGTTACATTCCAAAGTCTTGAGAGTCAGAGCCTCGTTCCCACCTCTTGAAGCGATCAAAGTATAAATAAACTTTTTGCACTTTTCAAGTTCATCCGGACCGATTTTGGAGAGTTTCAGTGTCGAGAAAATCGGTTCAAATTTCTGAAAGCAGAAGATTATTTTCGAAACTATTTAATAAGGCTTATGATGACCTTTTAGAATGCTTCTAGGATTGATCATTGAACTCTTAAAGTGCAAATTTCATTTGCTAAAACTTATATCTAGAGATCAAACATCAGAACTAATTATCAAAAAAATAGTACTCCGGAACCAAAATATTTTCGCCGAAACCAAAAATTTCCAAATGAACATCAATGATCATAGATCACTGATCAATCCTTCATTCCAAAGGTCCAGCCAATAAAATTTGCTCACCTCTGCGATGTTGAAAATGAAAGATTCCCGAAGCGATGTTGGGAAATATTCAGTCAATTTCGCTACATTTTCCCTCAGCTTTTGGTTTTGTTCAAATTTTTGCGCAGCAAAAGACGAAGATGATTTTTGGGTGTTTGGAACATTCGGCGTCGGGACCAACGTTGCGGCGTTCATCAATTGGATCATAGCGGAGTAGTTCAGGTCGGATTTTGTGAACTCATCCGCGCCGGTCCGCTTCTTTGTGGTCAGAGCTCCGTTTAGAGTGGCTGAAAAGGTCACATTTATGAATATCTGTATCAAGATTTGGATCAAGAGTGATCTTTGATCACTTGATGTTTGATCTTTTGTCGCTTAGCAATCAAAAATCTCAAAAAGTTATTCGAGGAGCCAAATATTCTGAGCCGGATTCCCCAAAAATCTCAGGTAAGTTCAATTTCGATCCCACTGGTCCCAAATTCCGGCCCTATATAGGTATAGGCGTGTCCCTAATCAATAGGGGGGACCCTATTGATTATTGCAAAATTTTTCCGAAAATGATTTTTTTTAGAATTTTTTGCCAAAAAAACCATTGGGGACCCTATGGTTTGAAAAATCATTTTCGGAAAAATTTTGCAAAAAAAATCAATAGGGTCCCCCCTATTGATTTTTTTCCTGGACACGCAAATACTCATATAGGGCCCAAAATCCACTCAAGACCAACCTCCATCTCCCATGGCCACACATTGAATGATGAGTCCTCCGGTGATCTCGTCTTTGCTCAGGTAGTGTGAAATCAGCTTCTCTTTAATGTTCGGCTCGATCTGCTGTCCCTTCGGGGTCGAACTCCGGTCCACCTCCAACATGACGCACTTTCCAGACAGAACGAATGACGTCAGACATACGGTCGGGCGACTGTTCACGTAGGCTGGAGTGAGCAGGCACGAGCTTTGCAACAGTGGGAATTTGTCGCTCTGAAAACGACGTGGAATTATTTTTGGCATATCCAGATAACATTACAATGGCTTGGGAACCGGTCAACCCCCGCGGCCGTGTTTGGCATAACTTTTTACTGGAACATTCTAGAAGGATGAGTAATAGCTTAAATGAAAGCTAAGACTCTGGGCTACAAATCGGTAAATTCATTGCCGCATCTCGATTCAAGATTCTCGAGTTTCAAGTATTTTTGTCTCCAATTCTCGAATCGATTCTTTTGAAAATTCGAGAATTTGAGACAAAAATAATTAAATCTCGAGAATCTTGAATCGAGATGCGGCAAGTAATATACCTATCGGTAGCCCAGAGTAATAGCTTTGATTTAAGCTATTACTCATCCTTCTAGAAAGTTCCAGAAAAAAATTATGGCAAAAATGGCCGCGCCGGTTTTGACCCGGACTCCAATGGCTTACCTTCAACTTCGGCCCAGCAGTGCACCACTTAAGTCGGGTGGTGTTGTACATCCCACTCTCGGCCTTGTTTAATATTTTAGAGTCCGGAGCGAGGAATCCCAGCGCAGCCAACTGAGAATGCGCGTTTCGGTGGTGCAGAAGTTCGACGTCGTAATTCACGGATTGGCCTGAAATATTGACAGAGTTAACAGAAATCGATAAAAGTACAAATGTACTTTAAAGATATGGGAAAATTTATATGTCAGCTTCAACCAGGAACATAATCTGATATTTTTTTAGACTTGTGGCCATAAATGGTCCTTAACCTGGTCTAAGTAGTACTAGTGGTCCAATTTGGACCAAGCATCAGATGTTTGATGCCTTGAAACCCATACATTTTTATCATCAACGTTAAAACATGAATCATACCTTGCTGTGCCTCCTCTTTCATCGGGATTCCCGAGACTGTGGTGGAAATCAAGTCATAAACGTCCTGGAGTACTTTGTGCATCGTCGAAACTAGTTGGGGCCGGCAGGAACGCTTATCAAACAGGAGTCCAGGATGGAGGATGTCTAAAGTTCAAAATTATCTTCAAATCAAAATTTTCAGACGCAGAACTTGGCATGCCTTTCCCAGCTTCTGAAAAAATTTCTCCCACATAATAAAATTCAAATGTTTCACAGCGTTTCAAAACGCCGTAAAAAGGCCAGTCGACATTTCCTCATTTGTGTCGGTTGCGGCGCTCGTTACGACCCGAACTAGGGGGTAGGAGGTCATGATAATGATCCTGACAAAAATTGTAGTTCATAAAAAATAATTTTTAAATTCCCGACATTACATTTTTTCGAAAAAATGACACTTTTTTGACAAATATTTGTCACTATTTGTCAAAAAAGTGTCATTTTTTCGGAAAAAATGTAATGTCGGGAATTTAAAAATTATTTTTTATGAACTACAAATTTTGTCAGGATTCAGAAAAATATACACACTACATAGCTAAAGTGGGGTTATAAGGTGGAAAAATCGAACCATTGACCTCCTACCCCCTAGTTCGGGTCGTAACGAGCGCCGTAACCACCCCAAACGAGGAAATGTCG